TGCAACAACTTTTGTACTAAAAGTTTTTTTATAACATGCTCCGATTCCCGAATGTTACCATTAACACTAATAAAACAAATAAATTCATCAAATTTAAAAATTTTCGTATTTTTCTCAATATTGACGCATCTGAGAGCAAAAATACAAGAGAGATTTGCAACAACCTTTGTTCCAAAAGTTTTTTTATAACATGCTTCGATTCCCGAATATTACCATTAGCTAACAGTTAAACAAGGAAATTCATCAAATTTTAAAATTTTCGTATTTTTCTCATAATTGACGCATCTGAGAGCAAAAATACAAGGGAGCAATATTGTTAATAACAAAATTTGCAACAACTTTTGTACTAAAAGTATTTTTGTAACATGCTTCGATTCCCAAATGTTACCATTAGCTAATAGTTAAACAAGAAAATTCATGAATTTTTTAAATTTTCGTATTTTTCTCAATATTGATGCATCTGAGAGCAAAAATACAAGAGAGCAATATTGTTAATAATAAAATTTGCAACAACTTTTGTTCTAAAAGTTTTTTTATAACATGCCCCGATTTTCAAATGTTTCCATTAACTAATAGTAAAACAAAGAAATTCATCAAATTTTCAAATTTTCGTATTTTTCTCAATATTGATGCATCTGAGAGCAAAAATACAAGAGAGCAATATTGTTAATAACAAAATTTGCAACAACTTTTGATCTAAAAGTTTTTCTGTAAAGTTTTCCGATTCCCGAGTATTACCATACATTAAAAAAACAACGAAAATCACCAAATTTTCATATTTTTCTCAATATTGACGCATCTGAGAGCAAAAATACAAGGGAGCAATATTGTTAATAACAAAATTTGCAACAACTTTTGTACTAAAAGTTTTTTTATAACATGCTTCGATTCCCGAATATTACCATTAGCTAATAGTTAAACAAGAAAATTCATGAATTTTTTAAATTTTTGTATTTTTCTCGATATTGACGCATCTAGAGCAAAAATAGAAGATAGCAATATTGTTAAGAATAAAATTAGCAACAACTTTTGATCTAAAAGTTTTTCTGTAAAGTTCTCCGATTCCCAAGTATTACCATACATTAGAATAACAACGAAAATCTTCAAATTTTCATATTTTTCTCAATATTGACGCATCTGAGAGCAAAATTAGAAGAGATCAATATTATTAAGAATAAAGTTTGCTACAACTTTTGTTTTAAAAGTTTTTTTATAGCATGCTCCGATTCCNTTAGCTAATAGTTAAACAAGAAAATTCATCAAATTTTTAAATTTTCGTTTTTTCTGCAACATTGACGCATCTGAGAGCAAAAATACAAGAGAGCAATATTGTTAATAACAAAATTTGCAACAACTTTTGTACTAAAAGTTTTTTTATAACATGCTCCGATTCCCAAATGTTACCATTAACACTAATAAAACAAATAAATTCATCAAATTTTCGCATTTTTCTCAATATTGACGCATCTGAGAGCAAAAATACAAGAGAGCAATATTGTTAATAACAAAATTTGCAACAACTTCTGTACTAAAAGTATTTTTGTAACATGCTTCGATTCCCAAATGTTACCATTAGCTAATAGTTAAACAAGAAAATTCATCAAATTTTTAAATTTTCGTTTTTTCTGCAACATTGACGCATCTGAGAGCAAAAATACAAGAGAGCAATATTGTTAGCAAGAAAATTTGCAACAACTTTTGTTCTAAAAGTTTTTTGATAACATGCTCCGATTCCCAAATGTTACCATTAGCTAATAGTAAAACAAGGAAATTCATCAAATTTTTAAATTTTCGTATTTTTCTCAATATTGACGCATCTGAGAGCAAAAATACAAGAGAGCAATATTGTTAATAACAAAATTTGCAACAACTTTTGTTCTAAAAGTTTTTTGATAACATGCTCCGATTCCCAAATGTTACCATTAGCTAATAGTAAAACAAGGAAATTCATCAAATTTTTAAATTTTCGTATTTTTCTCAATATTGACGCATCTGAGAGCAAAAATACAAGAGAGCAATATTGTTAATAACAAAATTTGCAACAACTTTTGTACTAAAAGTTTTTCGATAACATGCTCTGATTCCCAAATGCTACCATTAGCTAATAGTAAAACAAAGAAATTCATCAAATTTTTAAATTTTCGTATTTTTCTCAATATTGACGCATCTGAGAGCAAAAATACAAGGGAGCAATATTGTTAATAACAAAATTTGCAACAACTTTTGTACTAAAAGTTTTTTTATAACATGCTTCGATTCCCGAATATTACCATTAGCTAATAGTTAAACAAGAAAATTCATGAATTTTTTAAATTTTTGTATTTTTCTCGATATTGACGCATCTAGAGCAAAAATAGAAGATAGCAATATTGTTAAGAATAAAATTAGCAACAACTTTTGATCTAAAAGTTTTTCTGTAAAGTTCTCCGATTCCCAAGTATTACCATACATTAGAATAACAACGAAAATCTTCAAATTTTCATATTTTTCTCAATATTGACGCATCTGAGAGCAAAATTAGAAGAGATCAATATTATTAAGAATAAAGTTTGCTACAACTTTTGTTTTAAAAGTTTTTTTATAGCATGCTAGGATTCCCGAGTACCACCATTAAGTTTTTTCTCTTTTTATGGTACAAGAGTAACAACTCCGAACTAAACGTTATAATAAGAACGTTCAATCTTAAATCAAAATAGAATAAATCATCAAATCAAAAACACATAATTTTCTATTAAAATCACCCGTTATCTCTTTTCCATCAAAATATACAGTTCGAAGATGCGGTTCTTCTTTTGTAAAGTAATTTTTAAAAGCAAATCGCTTACACGAGCCGTTACGAGCACAGTTAAATAAAAAAATAAATTCAAAACTGTGATTTAATTAATTTTTGAATTAACCGTTATTTTGATGAGGAAGATTTCTTAATTATTAAAATTAACTTGATGTTATGAATGAATTAAGTCTAATTTATATATTAGCCTCGGGGCAAATCACGATTTTACTCCACTAACCTAGATTAGACACTCAAATTTCAACCAAAATTAATTTATTTTTATTTATTAATATTAATAAATTAATTTACATTATAATTTTGTTAAATTAATCTTTTTCTTCTTCGTTTTTTTCGATTTATATAAGCACCGTATTCTTCGTCTCCGTTATAACCATAATGACCCATAGAAATTTCCTTTTCAACCGGACTCAAATTAATGTTATGGCTATAAACTCCTCCTTGGTTATTAAATCGGGTAAACATGCTGATTAAAAGCAAAATGATCCCAACTTTTCCTATAAAAGCGCTTTTTAACAACATCAATTTTAACCCGATTAAAGCCATTGGAATCATCATTGATGAAATCATAAATGGGATCACCATAAATGGGAGGATTTTTTGTAACAAACCTTCTCTATCTTTTTTGCTTCGTTCTGCAAAAATTAAATTAAATCAAATTTAAAAAATTTAATAATAATTTTTAATTTACCTTGATTTAGAGATAAAACATCCTGATTTTTAACAACATTCGAGACATTTTTCATTTCTTCTTTGCTTTCGGCTGATTTAATATTGATTAAATAAACGAGAGTGAGCAATATGAGATAACAATACGAGTTGGTGTTGATGGCATGCATGGTGAGAATGAACTGGACGGTGTTCTACTTCTTCACCGGACGGAGGTTGTACAAGAAATGAAGGGGATTACAAAAACGTGCTTTTAGTAAATGTGGTACTCTCTTTTTATTTTAAGAGCGATTAAGGAAAAATTGCTTCATGCGTTTGAATTTCTCCCATTTTCTGCATAACTTAGTAATAACCTAGTTATAAATATTTTTGTGTTTTTCTCAATATAGACGCATCTAAGAGCAAGAATTAAAGAGAGGAATATTGTTAAGAATTAAATTTGCTACAACTTTTGTTCTAAAAGTTTTTTTGTAACATGCTTCGATTTCGATTTCAAATTTTTATATTTTCGTATTTTTCTCGATATTGACGCATCTGAGAGCATAAATACAAGAGAGCAATATTGTTAATAACAAAATTTGCAACAACTTTTGTTCTAAAAGTTTTTTGATAACATGCTCCGATTCCCAAATACTACCATTAGCTAATAGTAAAACAAGGAAATTTATCAAATTTTCGTAATTTTCTCAATATTGACGTATCTGAGAGCAAAAATACAAGAAAGTAATATTGTTAATAACAAAATTTGCAACAACTTTTGTTTTAAAAGTTTTTTGATAACATCTAATTTGAATATTTTTGTATTTTGCTCAATGTAGACATATCTAAGAGCAAGAGTAAAAGAGAACAATATTGTTAAGAATAAAATTTGTTACAACTTTTGTTCTAAAAGTTTTTTGATAACATTCTCCGATTCCCAAATGCTACCATTAGTTAATAGTGAAAAAGGAAATTCATCAAATTTTTTAATTTTCGTATTTTTTTCAATATTGACGCATCTGAGAGCAAAAATACAAGAGAGCAATATTGTTAAGAATAAAATTTGCTACAACTATTGTTGTAAAAGTTTTTTGATAACATGCTTCGACTCCCAAATGCTACCATTAGTTAATAGTGAAAAAGGAAATTCATCAATTTTTTTAATTTTCGTATTTTTTTCAATATTGACGCATCTGAGAGCAAAAATACAAGAGAGCAATATTGTTAATAACAAAATTTGCAACAATTTTTGTTCTAAAAGTTTTTTGATAACATGCTTCGATTCCCGAATGTTACCATTAGCTAATAGTAAAACAAGGAAATTCATCAAATTTTCATATTCTTCTCTATATTGACGAATCTGATAGCAAATATACAAGAGAGCAATATTGTTAAGAATAAGATTTGCTACAGCTTTTCGTCTAAAGGGTTTTTTGTAAAGTTCTCCGATTCCCGAGTAATGAAAACCGAGGGAAGAAAGAAAATTGGACATTAAGGAACTAAAGTTACCAGAAGTTATAGAAAAATTTGAATAAGAAACGCAAAATATAGTTCAAGAACAACTAAGACAACACATGCAGAAGCAGCAACAGTTTGATGAAGAATGCAGAAAGGATGGTATAATAGAATTCAAAGAAGTCAAAAAAAGTGTATCATATGTGTATACGCAAGAAAAGGAAATAAGAATGACATCGTTGTAAAGATGGAAGAGGACTTCAGAGACAATAACGATCCAAGAGATACGAATTCTCAGTACCTAAAAAGCATGAGAGAGCAATACAAATCCAGAACAAGTATCTGTAGAGACGAAAGGAGATCAAATTTGCATATTTTTGTATTTTTCTCAATATTGACACATCTAAGAGCAATAGTACAACAGAGGAATAGTATTAAGAATTAAATTTGCTACAACTTCTGTTCCAAACGTTTTTCTGTAACATGCTCCGATTCCCGAGTATTAACATTAGTAACATGAAAAAGCAAAAGTTCATCATATTTGAATATTTTCGTATTTTTCTCGATATTGACCCATCTGAGAGAAATACATGAGAACAATATTCCTCAGAACAAAGTTTGCTACAACTTTTGTTCTAAAAGTTTCTTGATAACATTCTCCGATTTCCAAATGCTACCATTAGCTAATAGTAAAACAAAGAAATTTATCATGTTTTTAAATTTTCGTATTTTTCTCAATATTGACGCATCTGAGAGCAAAA